ATACTGGCGAGAAGTTAAAGGTGCACCCGTCGGTCTCGACCAGCCAATGCCAATCCATAATCAGATGCAGTATCTGCCGCCCCCGTAGAAGGGAATGTCGGGCATTGGCTTCCTCGCTGCGGGCATCCGCCCGTCGCTCGAGGCCACGGTTGAAGGACTCCACGGGGGGCCGATGCTGACTATGCGTCGAGCGCGCCGAAGCACCCGCCATCCGCGAGCTTCGCGCACGTAGCGCCCGCACCTTCGACCTCGCGGAGCCTTTTGAATGCCTATTGGGCCTCGCCGATGCCGAGCGCAACGTTTCGCGGGCGTCTTGCTTCCACCCCCCGGAATAGGGAACAGATGGCATATTCCTAAGTTTGCAGCGCGCAGCCTCTTTGTATTTCCCATCCTCTGTCGTGGGCATCTCAACGACCTCCCCTGCTGCAGACTGACGGCCCCACGATGGATCCACACCGGCACCTCCGCTCTCAATATCAGGCAGAGGTGGGGCACCTGGCGCATTGCGCCAAGTCTCTGGTGACTGAGCCTAAACTTGTTGCACAATCGGTTTACAGCGCGCTGGAATGTTTGGCGCGTCTGGTGCTTCTCGATTTCGTAGCGACGGCCGCCAATTAGGATGCGGCTGCGGCGTTGGCGGGGCGCCAATTACTTCCTTTTCCTGATGCACTGCGTCATTAGAAGCGTCGAGCCCCCCTGCTGCAGCACCATAGGCCTTCGCCGACGCGACGGCACCGGCCTTCGCCGACGCCGATGGAAACGCTTCGACCGTCGGTCGGTGAGTGTCGCCCACAACTCTCCAGTCAGCTAACTCTATGACTGCTGGTGGGCAAGGGCTATCACGCTGTCCAACGAGCGTCCGTCCCACCAGGCGAGCGTGCCGCGCGGCTGGGGATGGCTGTCGCGCCATTGCCGCCAGCTGTACAGCTGTTTCCTGATGGTGATCAGCCACCGTCATTGCGAGACTATCCATCTTTATGTTTGTGCGATGAATTTCAGCAACAACTCCGTTGTGGATCCTATCCACAGTAGCAACGTGGAGGACACTGCCATGACGGACCTGGTTACCCAATCTCGCGCTAATCGTTTCATGCACTTCATCCCAAATCGGACAGCGGCTGTCGCTTATTTTGAGTTAAACTTCCCGCATCGCCATAACATCGCCGTTGGTGGAACACTGTCCGTCCGCGTGGTCCGTTCTTTTCTGGAGATGGGCGGATAGTGAACTATTTCTTGAATGCTGTGTATGATTACTTGGGTTACGCGTCGAAGCTGAACCCGCGCTGCTAGAGCATGATCAAGTTGCTATATTAACTCATTGTTGCGATTATCCAACATGATGGCTCTGTCCCCTTTGTGCAGCATTCTCAATGGTACTGGTTCGCTCCAGGATGTGGCTGGCACGCTTTCCAGTTGCTCGCTGGTCATCTTGGCGCGCCTGCACCACAGCAGCAGCCAGATTGCCCAGGATATCCCAAACCAAAGGGTCCACACTCTGAGCATTATGCGCTTGTGGTGCGCTTGCGAACTCCGTAATGGTCGCCCGTAATTTGAGGTTCGCCTCTTGATGTTGCTCTAACATTCGACTCGCTCCGTTAATGCCTGTTGCTGCATGTCTGCCATATGTTGGCTGGGTGTCTGGAGCATGTCGGCTTTCTTTCGAAATCAACCATGATTTCTCTGCGGCGGCTGCTTCGGACCAAGCACGCAGACCCGCCTGTTGTCTAGACAGTTGTTGTTCGACCGATCGTTACGGCACTGTTTGCACCTGGACGAGTGGGATGGGTGCCCTGGTGCTCTCGGTGGCCTTCGGTACCGGAGTTTCGCAGCCATGCTTCGCAATCGCTGGATCCAGGGCAAAACATCCTTCTCTGCCCGAGTATGGTCTAACCGCCGCCATGGCATCGGCTGTCGCCGACGCAGCCGTGCCAGGTCTCCCAGCCGCGATAGCCCTATCACGAGGGCGTGATGGGATGTGTTGACCTTTGCCCGAGGTACGGCCTATGGGCATGATTTTCAGCTGCGACTTCGCAGTCACTGGTCGCGACGACTCCGAACCGAAGGATTCGTCCGAGATGATGGCACCGAGGTGTTCTGACCAGACCACCCATGCCTGCCAGCTTAAAAGGCGCTTCGCGCCTGATGCAGCACTGGCGCTGCCTTTGAGCCAAACGCCTCTTGTTACATAAGCTTCGGCTCGCCGTTGAGAAGGCGGCCGCGTTCCTTTCGGATGTGTCCCACCATCGTGCCTCGGGGCACGAAGTGGGGTTACCCCCCCACGCTCTCATGTGTTCTCTGTTCTCTGTACTCAGGACTGGGGGACTCTAGTATTCGAAGGGCTGGGGCCCCAAATGTTCAAACCTCCTGGGCGCTCCCGCGCGCTCCTGGGCTGCCTTCCTTGATTGTTCCAAAAACCGAAAGGTCCCAAGACGGGCCAAGAGGGCCCCAAGAAGCACCCGAGAGGGTCCAAGAGGCCTCCAAGACAGCCCAAGAGCGCTCCAAGACGCCCAAGATGGCCCCAAGACGGCCCACGAGGCCCCAAAGAAACCCCAAGAGCGCTCCAAGAGGACCCCCACGGGGACCCAAAGAGGCACAGTTCATGGATGTTCCTTGCGTGTTGTGTGTTGTGTTGTGTGTGTGTTGTGTGTGGTGTGTGGTGCGCGTGTGTTGTGTGTTGTGTGTGGTGTGTATGTGTGTATGGTTGTGTGTGGGTGTGCGAGTGTGTGTGTGTGTGTGTGCGTGTGCGTGTGCGTGTGCGTGTGCGTGTGCGTGTGCGTGTGCGTGTGCGTGTGCGTGTGTGTTGTTTGTGTTTGCGTGTGTGCGTGTGCGTGTGCGTGTGTGTGTGTGTGCTTGTGTGTTGTGTGGTTGTGTGATTGTGTGTTTGTGTGTTGGAGTGTGTGGTTGCGTGTGTGTGCTTGTCTGTTTGTGTGTGTTTGTGTGTTTGTGCGGTTGTGTGTTTGTGTGTGTTTGTGTGTGTTTGTGTGTGCGTATGCGTGCGCGTGTGTGTGTGTGTGTGTGTGTGAATGTGTGCGAATGTGTATGCATGTGGTGAATGTGCATGTGTGTCCGCTAGCGATAAACTGGCGACGACGCGATGGAGCAGGAAGAGTTCGCATACGCGTGCCCTGCCTCACGCTCCCCAAGCGCATCGCGCGCAGTGCGTGCTCGCGGAGCGGCGGCCGACGATCGAAGACGGACGACGACCGAGACGATCCTCGCCTCGAACATAAGAGGAAAGCGGGAAGGCAAGAGAAGGAGCGGGGGAGGCCCGAGAAGGATCCCAGGGCGCCCGAAACCCAGCGTGGCTACCGCTCAAGGTAAAGCTGGCGCCGAGTACGAGTGGTAAGCCACAGCACTCCCCGCTGAATCTCACCAGCCTTCTCGGCGTGAGTGGTTTCAGGCGCGCACTCGTCCAACCTCCTGCGTATCCTTCGGGGGTGAGTTTACCCCTCCCCCTGCCCCCTCTCCCTGGACCTTGACGAGGGGGGTTCGCGACCAGTTGAGGCCTCCAAGATGGCCGCGGCGAGAAGGCACAAATCACTGAGTGTGTTCAAGTGTTGGGCCATGTTTGGCCTCATGGGGGGGGGCTCTAGCTAACGCGCCCGCCCCCCCTTGATCGATCTCCTCCAAGATGGTCCCCAAGGCTCGCAAGAGTGTCTCAATAGGCATCCGGGAGGCCCTAAGAGGCCGCCAGGAGGTCCCAAGAGGCTCCCAAGAGACCCCACGAGGCTCCAAGAGGCTCTCCCAAGTCACCCAAAACGCTCCAAGAGACCCTTAGGACCGCAAAGAGGGCCCAAGACACCGCAAGAGAACTCCAAGAAGCTTCTAAGAGACATCCGAAGAGACTCCGAAAAGGCATCCTAGAGGCCTCTGGCCATTCTGCTCGCCTTCCTCCTCCTCCTCATCATCCCTCCCCCTCCTCCTCCCTCCCTCTCCTCCTCCTCCTCCCTCCTCCTCCTGTTCATCTTTCTCCCTCCTCACTTTTCCCCCTCCCCTCCTCCTCCCCCCCCTTCTCTCCCCCTCCTCCTCCGACTCCTTCTCTATCCTCCACCTCTTGGAGTATGACGGCTTTCCCAGTCCGTTATTACACTGCATGCTCCTCCACATCTCTGATCAGGGCAACTCGCCTGGGCATCGTTTCTGGATGGGCTGGTGGGGTTACGCGGCGCGTCTATCATTTTTTGCAAAATAACACAATTTTTGTGGTGGGGGGCACACACACACCGTTTAGCCTCAACCTGCGCCGCAGAGGCCTCCCGCAGCCAGGAGGCATGAGAAAAGAGGCACGGATGGGCCGCAACCCTGGGAAAGTGACTCCCGGGAACGAGCATGCGAGACTGCTTGCACTTACATCTGCCAGTAGAAGGAACGAAGAGGTGCGGGCTCCCGGCAAGTATCTTATCGAACTTAGTCGGCTGACGTGCCTGACGAGCTTGCAGCACTCGGATCCCCTCATGGGGTTCAGCCTCGAGCGCTAGCAGCAAAGCCCGCCCAGGACGACGTCTATCCAGTGAGTGCCGCCGTCGTGTCCCGAAGGTCTGTGCGAGGGAGGGAAATCACGACCAGTCCCAAGCCAATTTGGTCGCGACCCCCGAACAGACGTCGGCACTGGCACTTCCTCGGCAGAGAAACATTTCAAATTCATCCTTTACCAGCTGCAGATCATCCTCCCTATGAAAGGGAGTCCAAAGCACAGAAACGTCCCCAGGACCTCGGGCCCCTGATGCGCGTGCAGCACGCACCCAAAGGTCACCGTTGAGGCCCCGCAGGGCCTTGGCACGGCAGGGAGAGGGAGGAGGAGGGGGAGAAGGAGGAGGAGGAAGAGGAGGAGGAGGAGGAGGAGGAGGAGGAGGAGAGAGAGGAGGAGAGAGGAGGAGAGAGGAGGAGGAGGAGGAGGAGGAGGAGGAGGAGGAGGAGGAAAAGGAGGAGATAGAGGAGGAGCAGAACAGAGGATGATGGGCCTGGTTTTCCGCTCCCCTCCCCCCGTCGCCCAAGCTAGCCTCCTTCAGCGCCGGGCCAAGCGCCTCGACTATTTCGTTCTTCGTCAGCGTGCGGAGGACCTTCGAGGACCCGACGTCCTCGTATACCTCCACCCCGTTCTTCCGCGGCACCAACCTGACCCCCGCCTTCACCTGGCCGTCAAATGGGTGTGGTGAAGGCTGCTGAAGAAAGCCCGGGGGGGTGGGGGGCAGGAGGAACTGGAGGAGGGGCTGGAGTAAGAGCTAGCGGAGGGGGAGGAGGGAGGAGGAGGCGGAAGAGGAACGGGGAGGAAGAGGAGCAGGAGGAGGAGGAGGAGGAGGAGGAGGAGGAGGAGGAGGAGGAGGAGGAGGGGCTGCAGAAGCCGTAGCAGGGGCGAGGAAAGCGAAGGAGGGAGCGCACGCCCCACTGAAAAGAAGGAAAGACAAGGCGGAAAAGGAGGATGACGAGAGAGGAGATAGGAGAGAGGCAAGCTGGGTGCGCTCGAGCCATGTCTGACATCCTACCCAACCCTTCCAACCATTCCAATTGCGTTGGCTGCTTCTCTGTCCGCCGACCGACGCGTGTCATGGCGAACCTGGAACACCAAACAGGACCTCATCGCTGGAAATGTTCCGATTTGGAAAAACATCGGGCATATCAATGATTGAAGTCCTGTGTGCAAAACAATACGTGGAGAGGTCGGGACAACTGCTGCGCAGAGTCAGGGGAGAATGCAAAAAACGAGAGAGGAGAGGAGAGGAGAGGAGAGGAGAGGAGAGGAGAGGAGAGGAGAGGAGAGGAGAGGAGAGGAGAGGAGAGGAGAGGAGAGGAGAGGAGAGGAGAGGAGAGGAGAGGAGAGGAGAGGAGAGGAGAGGAGAGGAGAGGAGAGGAGAGGAGAGGAGAGGAGAGAGAGGAGAGGAGAGGAGAGGAGAGGAGAGGAGAGGAGAAGAATAATAAAATGAAGCAGGAGAAGGAGAAGGAGAAGGAAGAGGAGGAGGAGGAGGAGGAGGAGAAGGCGGAGGAGGAGGAGTAGCAGCAGCAGCAGGACCACGAGGATGAGGAGCGGGAGGGGGAGGTGGAGGGAGAGGGAGAGGGGGGGCAGGGAAGGAGAGGGAAGAGGAGGGAGGGGTAGGGAGGGGGAAGGAGGGGGAGGGAGGGTGAGGGAGGAGGAGAAGGAGGAAGAGGAGGACCAGTGTAAACCCAAGACGCATCAAAGATGTTTCAATTGACCATCCCTCCACATTCCCTCTTGATACGTCCCAACAATGTCTTCTCATTGCGGAAGTGCCCCGTTGGAAAACAACCGCCTGACAATCATTCATCGCGCCAAGACACAATTGCTGGAATGTCAGCGCCGCGGAGCAACGTGACTGTTGCTCCCTGGCAGTCCTAAATCGTGCCGGGAAACAATACATGGGACTTCAATACCGCGAATCAACGTGACCGCTACGTCCTGACAGTCCGAAATCGTGTCAGAACACCATTCCTGGGATTTCAGCCATGCGAAACCATTGCGTTGCAGACTTTCAAAACGAATGTGCGCGGCGCTAGGGCAAGAGCCACATCTTGAAAAGGACCCGTCCTCCATCAGTGAAGCCGAATTCGAAGCCGAATGCACGCGGCGCTAAAGCGAGAACGATATTTTGAAAACAGCCCGCCCTCCATTCGTGAAACTGTTGCAAACGTTTGAAAGGAATGCGCGAGGCGCTAAGCGTGAGAAACATTCGAAAACCGACCACCATCCATCCGTGAAGCGGTTGTAATCTTCTAAGGCGACGGTGCGCGGCGCTAAGGCGAGAGCAACCATCTGAACATGTCCTGCCCTCCATCGCAAAACTGTGACAAGCACTTTAAACAAATGCGCGCGGCGCTGAAGTGAGAGCCACATGTTGAAAACTACTCGCCCTCCATCTTTGAACCTGTTGCGAGCTTCAAGTTTCAGGATCAAAAAGGTGAGGACGTCTCAGGCGAAACGCCCGGATCATGCTGACACGACTGGGGGTACGACAGGAAGGAGCTATTTAAAGGAAAAAGGGCCGAGGGAGGAGGGTGAGGAGGAGGAGGAGGAGGAGGAGGAGCTGTGGCCATGCCCCCAGTAGCGTCGAACTTCGAGGACCATGGGTAGTGGTCCGCTAGGTCGCTCGCGGGGATCATGCCGGCGTTGGGATTGTCGCCGAACGGGGCCTTGAGATCAGGTCGAATACTGTAGGCACGCACGGTAAGGAATCTTGCTATGCATCCTTCGTCGAGATCTGAGCTCCCTGGGGTGCCCCAGGGCTTCTGTGCCCCCCCGGGGCCCTTGATGGCGAAGACATGTCCGTGGGGGCACCTGCGGGCAGGTTGGCTTCTCATGTGACGTGCCCTCTGCACACCGGGGGGTCTCCTCTGCCGACCCCTGGCCTGGCCACCCGCCTGGACAGCCAGGCACCGCGACCACATCGCAACGGGCGCCACGTGTTCCGCCGCCGTGCCCCCATGGCGCGCAGGCGCGGCAAATTGCCGAGTGCTGTCTGGCAGGGGCCCTGAGGCTGTGCAGGAAGCCCACAGAAGAGGTAGGCGCCCAACCACGCACATGAGCACGGCCCCCCAGTCCGCGAGAGCAGCCGCGTGATACGAACGTTCGCGCAATCCGTACTCTCTAAACCAGCGTGATTGCCAAGCGCTGTCTGGTAGGGGCCCTGAGGCTACGCAGGGAGCCCACAAAAGACGTACGGACCCAACCACGCACATGGACACGGCACCCCAGTCCGCGAGAGCAGCCGCGTGATACGAACGTTCGCGCAGTCCGTGCTCTCGAAACGAGCGTGGATTCACATACGTGCACGTCCTTCTCTCGCTCCTGAAGGGCCCCATCTCCCCTC